CAATTTGTTCGTGTCGAAGATAGAACCCAAAACCGTCAACACCACTCTTGGTCATTCTGATTAGGTGCAAGCGATGCATGACGAACTTAATGAGTTTGAACAAAACACGGTTTGGAGATTAATTCTAACTCCAATAAAAGCATCAGTTGTTTGTTTGAAATGGGTGTTTGGTAATACGTTGGATAAAAAGGGAATGTAAGAAGGAACAAGGCGAGACTTGTTGTTAAGGGTTACTGCCAGAAAGAGGGTATCGACTACGAAGAAACCTTCAAACCTGTTGCAAAGTGGAATCAGTTTGGATATTCTTAGCATATGCAGCTCATAAGAACTTTGAAGTGTTTTAGATGGATGTTAAATGTACGTTCCTAAACGGGGAATTAGAAGAAATAGTATATGTTGAACAATCACCTGGGTACAATAATGAAAAGTAACCCAACCACCGCTACATTCTGGATAAGGCAGTTTACGGACTGAAGCAAGCTCCGAGGGTTTGGTATGAAACTCTTACTCGCTTCCTTAAAATATCTAAGTTTAAACAAGGTTCAGTTGAACCAACCTTCTTTCTAAAGAAAGAGAGTGACCACTTAATGATCGTCCAATTTATGTTGATGACATCATCTTTAGATCTACTAATCCCAACCTCACAGTTGAATTCCGAAAGTTGATAGAAACTAAGTTTGAGATGAGCTTAATGGGTCCTATTAACTTTTTCCATGGATTGAATATAAGATAGGGACCAAAAGATATTTTCATTAATCAGGAAGCATATAGAAAAATTTTGCTCTCTAAGTTTGGCATGATAAGAGACTCTAAAGTGAAGGTTCCAATGGCATTCGGAATGAAACTTACACCATCTCTGGAAAAACTAGTTGCAGATATAACCCTTTATCATTAAATGATTGATTCCTTAATGTATCTAACAGCTAGTAGACTGGACATTATGTTTTCCATTTGTTATTGTGCAAGGTTCCAAGAAAACCCTCGCGAACCTCACAAGGTGGCAGTGAAGAATATTTTTAGATACCTAAAATGAACTTCATCTTTAGGCATATAGTATCCTGCGAACTCGAGTTTCTTCGTTCAATCATTTTCGAATGCTAATCTTGGTGGGTGCGGCTTAGATAGAAAAAGCACAACTGGTGGATGCCAATTTCTTGATGGAAAATTAGTTAGTTAGCAATCCAAGAAGCAAACATGTGTTTCATTGTCAACATCCGAAGTCGAGTACATTGTTACTGCATCTTGTACTTCTCAGATCATATGGATTTAAAATCAATTGCGAGATTATGGCTTGAATATCAAGAGAATACCACTCTACTGTGACTCTGAAAGCGCAATTCGCATCTGTCACAACCCAATGCAACACTCCAAGACGAAACACATAGCACTGAGGTATAACTTCATCAAGGATCATGTAGAAGATGGCAACGTTGAGATTCATTTCGTTTGATCAGCAGACCAATTGGCTGACATATTCACAATAGCCTTGCTGGAAGCATCATTTAATAGAATACTCCAAGGCCTAGGAATGATGGAGACTGAATCAATTCCAAAACCACTCTTTCCTTCTAAGTATCTCATTCTCTTTTGGGTTACCTGTTCGCTTTCGTTCTTATTTTTCAAACAAGCAAAATAGAACGAACGCTCGATCTATTTCGTTTCCGATTTTTTTGGGACACGAATTGAGACGAACGGTCTCCCTATCTCGTGTCTCATTTTTTTTTAAAGGCGGATATATATATATATATATATATATATATATATATATATATATATATATATATATATATATATATATATATATATATATATATATATATATAATTTGCTTTGTTTATGCTTTTCTCTTGGATATTTAAAATACAAAAATATTATATTTTGTTTATTTGTCTTTCAGCAATTATCAAAATACAAAAAATATTTTGTTTTCTTATTTAATATTTTTTTTAGTACCATTGTAGGCTATCTTGCTAAAACGAGTGATGGGACGGGTATAATTTCCATATCTTTGTACTAACTGGGTGTCCCTAAAAGCATGCTGCTGCATGTTGTCCTACGCCACAATCGACTTCATGTGAAGCCTTAATGAATCAAATCTACCTTTCGTTTCTTCCCAACTAGGTAGTTACATTCACATAAGTCACGAGCTACCTTACACTTCTCATATTGAGTTAAGAGTTATCTGCTTGGTCACATTCGCGTAGCAGTGGTACATCTACTTCTCTAGAGCTACCTTCTCTTTTCTCCATTTTCCCTCACGCTCATACATTTAACCCTTGAGACTCTCTACTATACCACTGAGGTTTATGGTTACGAAACATTTGACTTCATGATCTTAGCTTCGTTTACCACGAACCAAATTCAACACCCTTAAACGAATTAATGGAGACTCATTGAAAGTTCTAGATTTTAAATCTATGGATTGTACCATGAAATCTCTTTTTCTTTTTGCGAGATCTTTATCAATTGTTCTACAACCAAGACTCTTCTACCCATAAGATCTAGTTTTATTTTTTTGAGATTTCACAGTTTCGGTCTGTCAATAAAATAACTCCAAGCCTACTCGTTCAACTGACTACACTAGTCACACAAGTACTTCATCTAACACTCGAACTTATGTCGAGTTTGTTGTTTGATTGGAGATTTAACCACCCTTTCAGCGTAACTTTAAAAGATTCCTTTCATTATTTCTTCACAAACATATGATTGTACTTCAACGGGAAACCACGCAGACACTTCTTAGTCTCTTGGCTTAGAAGGAAGAGATTCGTGCCCAGGATCTTTAGTTTCGTGTCTCTATTGACATCACTTTAATCCCACTGATATACTTTTCTTTATTTCTTTTATCTTTGCCACACTCTTACACGAAGATCTTTATGCTTTTCAAAAAGTCTAGTACGTGACACTTATGGCATTTTTCAGTTTCGCAGATTCGCTTTTATATGCACTTTTGATGTTTGTTTCATAAAAGAGAAAAGTGCTTATACTTTTACGATAAATGAAGGACTTTCAAACGTTGGAGATAAAGGTTGCTGGCACAACATTTGAAGATAAGATTTTGAAATAAAAGGCACGTGGAATTTTAAACGGTTCCAATTCTCACGCCGCATGAGGTCATGATGATAACCTGTCAGTCGCTACAATTGTCAAATCACGCTTTTCTAGGCATCCAATCAGGAATGGCCACGCAATCGTCGCTTGGTTTTCTCTCTCACACTATAAATAATTAAATCAATTAACGATTTAACCTTTATTACTCTCAAAGAAATTTCGAACCCTAAATGGCGCTTTCTCTTTCAACTGCTCATCTCCTTCTTCAACCTGCAACAATGGATGACTCTTCATCCGTTCAAGAACAAACTGCTCAGTCCTCTCTCCTCACAATCAAGCTGAATCATAACTTAATATTCAATTTGGCTTTGTTTAAATACGATGCCTTTATGTTGCCGATCATAGAGTGCTTGAAGTATTCACCTTTGGTCATCTCTCTAACCAAGCTTCAATGTGTTCCAATGCCACCGATGTCCAAAGATTTCTCTACCGCCGCCAATGACAAGGAGGAAGAATGGATCACTTTTGAAGTATTTGAGAAGAAAACTTCACTCACAAAGGCCAGGTTTTGCTCTCTTCTAGGGCTTGCTCATGATGATACACTGATAAACCTAGATTCGATCTCTATTGTACAAATTATCGATATGTTCTACCAGATAGGGTATATAGATCCCATTCCCTCAATCACCAAGTTTAAGAAATCAAACCTTCCTCCACTGTGGAATGGTCTATTTACCCTTCTCTTCAAGGCGTTTTCTGAAAGGGTCACTGGTTCAGACTGCGCGAGTAAATCATTCATGGCATTCCTCTATGGCCTCTACCATGGGATTCGTCTCGACTACGGTTCAATGTTATGGGCTCAACTGGTATAAAGCAAAAAGTCAACCACTCACCACAATGAAATCTCTATGGGTCGTTTTTGGACTATTGTAGTCCAGCGTGCAATTGCGAAGCTTAACATTCCAGTAATGGCGGATTCATTGAAGTATTCGATCGCTACCGTTCACACTACAAAGATCATACTTGGTGACAATTCTAAGTTTACCTTTGTAGGTTCTGTTCCTGAATCCATGTACTAGTGTGTGTCGGGGGCAAGCAAGCTGATTGGGGAATACAAAAAGTGTCGATCCTCACGTCCTAGAATTCTTACTCCGAAGATGCAACAAACTCTTGATGAGGCTGACAAAGTCAAGAAAGGGGGCAAACCAAAACAGAGGAAAGAAGGTCCTTCTAACCTAATTGTGCCTTCCAAAAAGCGAAAGCCAAAAGGTGATTCATCCAAGCGTGCTCCCTCATCCCCGAAGCGAAAGCGTGTGAAGAAGAAAGTTCGTAAGATTCGCGTTCCCTCCTCAACCTTATCTGACAACGAATCGGAAGATGCACATCAAGATGAATCTAACGACGATGTCAACAGAAACGAACAAGAGGTAAATTTCGTCCTATCTCCTCCAACATCACCTACTTCCACGTCTGTTCTGATTACAATAGCAACTTGTCCACCCCCTATCACTACTCAGTCACCACCTATCACAACTCAAACACCACCTGTTTCTACTGCACCACCACTTCTATTCCTCAACAAACTCCCATTTTCACTGAAACCACTACAACCACCACTACAGTCAAACCTCCTATCAATGTCAATGCATCTGATGTAGGGGAAAAGACTTCAGGCTTTGTAACTACCTCCACCACCTCTCCCATTTCACATCAGCCTCAACATAGTTCAGAAGAACCTCTCGGTGCAAATGGACTAGACTTTGATAATTCTCATTATAGTCTATTTTCCATTCAAGAAGATAGTGATGATGATGCTCCTCTCACTTAACGGCATCTCAAAGAGTTGAACGCCAAGCTAGATACTCTTCTGGCATATTCTATTGCTTCTTTGAGCCAAGATTATTTTGAAGCTGCAGTTAAGGGTATGCTCGATACTCTGGTCAAGGAGCATGCAACGAACCTTGCTCACACAAACAAAGTCGTTGAGGACTCCACTTTCCAATCTACAAGTGACCAAAAAAGTTGAGAAAATAATATCTGAAACGAAGGAGTTTATGCTAGACTTTAATGCTGCAGCTGAAGCGAATGTTGTCAAGGCTAACGAAGCCATTTCGAAGCTTAGCACTTCGCATAAATCTGAACGTGAGAAGATGGAAAAGCTTCGTTCAGGTATCTCTGATGACAACACAACCTTTAACTCTTCGATTTCTATGATGCTCACGAAGTTCAAGATGATTTGGCCATTCAAAGCAAAATCATGGATGAGCTTGCTCTTCGCACCACATAAGTCCGTGCTCAAACAATCAAGCTCAAGCACACAAAGTTAGAAAATGATGAGCTCAATTTTGAACGAGCGATTATGAAATCTGGCATCAGTGATGTCAATTCCTTACTGTCTAACCTTATTGAAGCGCATGATCCGATTTGGATCATCACCATTCGCAGACACTTAGCTGATAAGCTTCATCCTGCCTTCGCTCTTCTAAACAGGCTTGAGGGTGTTCCTGAGGCTCTTGTCCCTCTGAAACAAGGGGAGAAGATAAAGCTTCTAAGTCAGGTGAGAAACCACAGAAAAACGAACCGAAGGTTAATGTAGCTTCAGGTTCAAAAGGAAAAAATCTAATGGTTGTTGACGATGAAGAAGAAAAAAGTGAACATGATCAGCTAAAGCGAAAATCACGTGAACATGAGATAAATGAAAGTGCTCTCATTGCTAGAGAAATTGAGGAGAAGAAACGAAAAGATAAAGAAGCTCACGACACCTTGGAATGCAGGAAAACGCTCTTTCCATTGTGGACGTTGGAGCACTTAATGCAAGAAGCAGTTGAATTCCCCAGTGTTAACTAGTTGGAGCTAGTGATTTGGCTAACATGAAGGATTCTCAGTTTGATATGCCAATAACGAGAGGAGCCTTCGTTTTCCACTGTTTTAATTCGATTGCAGATATTCCCTCTCCTGATGCGAAAGTGGATAAAGCCTTAATTGACTTTTATCTCACTTATGGTAAACCTCAATACTTGACTTGGAGTGCTTAGAAACTAACAACAATCAAGGTCACAGGGCCAATCGCTACAGGAGGCTTCGTGAATGTAAAGTTCAAGGCGACAAGGGGTTCAGAAAATACTTTACATGAGTTCATGCTTGTTGATCTGTCCAACCTTAACCCACATGATTGGATTTTGTTGCTCAACCTTCTACTGACTGAAGAACAAAAATACGAACCCATTCTTGCTCATCTGAAGCGAATGATGGTTTCGTATATATATCAAGTGGCGAAGCTCGACATTAAGATTGCTAAAGTTCTGAAGCGAAAGCCTACCGTAAATCCGATTGGAAAAGCCAGCGACATGAGCGAAATGAGTATGGGTAAAATCGATACAGTCCATCTGAATGTGATGTTTCAGTGAGGGACTAATGTTTCTGGAGCTTTTCAGAAATTCCTCTTCGCTTTACCTGACAAACACTTATTCTCCACAACTTTCTTGGAACATATTTTGGAGATTCTTAACAAGTGTACCATGAATGATGCTGGTGCAAGGAAAAAATTTAACAATATGATTCGGTAGTATATCTTGTTTCACATAACTTTGCTCGCTCTGATTCCCAAGCTCTTCAAGACAATCAAGAAGACTCAGCAGTGAAGCATCTCTCGCCTCAATTGATGCAAAGGGGGAGATTGTTAGGTGTTAGATGTTGCGTCATTGGGCTTATAATAGTTAGTCCATTTTCTATATGGTATTGTGTTTGTCCAAGACGTCACATTTATTAGGGTTTAAGTATTAATAGTGCATACATGCACTGTAGATAGTTAACGCTTTTGCTAAGATATACTTTGTAAACCCTAGCATGCCTCCACAGTTGAAATTCTTCACCGAGTTCATCTACGACATGACTTTTAATCATTCAGCATCAGTTTGATTATCTTTATGATCTTTACTTCCTGTTGAATCTAATTGATCTTTAAGGATTTACATCCCAACACAGTTACATTTCAGTACCACATACCATCCGCAGACAGACAGGAAGAGCGAGCGAACGATTCAGACGCTTGAGGACATGCTGCATACATGTTTTATCAACTTCGGAGGAAGTTGGGATACTTATTTTCCCTTGGCTGAGTTTTCTTATAACAACAACCATCATTTGAGTATTGGTATGCCTCCCTTTGAGCTTCTTTAAGGGAGGAGGTTTCAAACTCCCATTTTTGGGGAGAGGTAGGGCAGCGAGTACTAAGATAGTGCTGAAGACAACTGAGCAGATTCAGCAGGTCAGATAGAGGTTACTGACGGCCCAGAGTCGCCAGAAGAGTTATGCAGACAAGCGACGATCTAAGTTGGAGTTCTAGGTCGTAGATTTTGTACTCCTGAAGGTATCCCTTTGGAAAGGGATGATTCGATTCAGGAAATAGGGCAGGTTGGGTTCCCGGTGCATCGGTCCTTTTAGAGTGACCACCAGAGTGGTTAAGGTAGCATACCGGTTGGAGCTACCTACAGAGTTGAGTCAGATTCATAAGACCTTCCGCGTGTCCCAATTGAGGAAGTCTGTAGCCGATGAGACGGAAGTGGTACCCTAGAGGACATTCACGTGGATGCGAGCTTGAATTACATTGACAGGTCGATCACAATTTTTGACCGAAAGGTGATGGTTCTGAGGAATAAAGAGGTTCCCTTAGTTCAGGCCCAGTGGCAACATCAGAAAGGGTCCGATTCAACTTGGGTGCCAGAGTCAGAAATGCGAAAACAATATCCCGAGTTTTTTCGGAGCATGACTTCGAGGGCGAAGTCTGATTCTAGTGGGGGAGAATTCTAACATCTCGAGTCCAGGTATAACTCATAAACCTTGGTCTTTTGAGTACTTGTCCATTTTAGTCCCTTTTTGATAAAAGGTGGTGAATGAGTATATGGGGCGTACACAAGTGTACGCTTAACGTACTCATATGCGTGCATTTGACGCGGAATCCACCTAGTACGTTGAGCGTACGAGAGGGTACATTGGGCGTACTAGCCCCAGAGTGAACCCTAATTTAGGGTGAGACCCTTATTTAAAGGATATGATGGCCTCATTCCTGGCCACTATTCTCAGACTACAACCCTCCTAAACCCTATTTTTTGTTCTTAAAGCTTGAAAGTGCATTTGAGAGCCTTGAGAGTATTCTTGTATTTCTTTGGAGTGAAGAAGGAGCCTTGAAGAAGAAGGAGTGGGATTCCAGGCTTTGGATATGAGCTTATCTGAGTGTGGAGCTTCATTTGAGGTATAAAGTTCAAAGCTTTCTCACTCTTTTGATTTGTGTATCATAGTAGAGTATTTTAGGGTTTTTTCCCAAAATTTGGAGACTTTATGAGATATTAAGCTCTAGAGACTATGATCAACCCCCCTTTGAGTGTATTTAGTGGTGTAGTGTCATAAAAATCCAATCTTAGATGTTGGAATCAAGCCATGTATGAGATATGGGCTTTTTGAGATAAGAGAGTGAGTGTTTTTTGTTTTTGTGACCTTCCAGCCATGCCAAGGCTTAAAGTTACTGACTTTATGGAGTAAGAGCTATTAGGGAGTCCAGATCTGTTATATGAGCCAAGGTCTTAACTGATTAAGACCAAATGAGTGAGAAAAGTGAAACTGGGACGTACGTTGGGCGTAATCCCAGTACGCGCAGCGTAGGGGTCGAGCATCCCCAATGCATGCATGAAAGCAGAGTACGCCCAGTGTACTCTCTGCCGTTGACTTTTGGTTGACTTTTAGGGTTTGGTCAATTTGTGGAATATTAAGGCCATTGAGGGGTAAAATGGTCTTTTACCCTTCTGTGAGTTTGTAGAAGGGTTAGTTTAGCTTATTAAGAGATGTGATTAATTAGGGATAATTGTCGTATGTGTTAGGCAGAGACTATACTAGTGATTTGAGTTTGAGATTAGCCGATTTCTTGCGAAGTGAGTCTTCTCACTATACTTACCATAAGTGGTATCTTCGTGTGAGCGAGATGTCTTATGTACTTATTTGTGTATTGTGATATTTTGCATTTTGTCTTTGTGATTTATGTTGGGTATTATTATTAAGAGCTTATTGAGTTAGGAGCGAAGGGTCCACCCGAGTTGCGGGACCGGAGGATCTCCACTGGAACACATTGACCGGAGGGTTGTATTGAGTCGCTAATGTGATGTGTGTGGTATTTTGGGGAACTGGCTAAGTTTCGTGCTTATCGTGCTATGTGTTATGTGTTTCAGGCACTTCTCAGGATCACGGAAAGATATCGGCTTGATTGTACACACACCCGCATTGGAGACATGTTTTTGGAGGATCCTGGATTTGTGATAAACAATTTTTGAAATATATGTTGAAATTTGATACTTGAGATATTTGAGAAAATGTGACATGTGTTTTATTGTATTTGAAAATAGAAAAAAAAATGTTTGAAAATTTACGTTGTTATAATTATCTAGATTTATACTCCATACCAGTCTTTGGCTTTCCACTCATCGTCTAGACTCTCAAAATGAAAACTCTATGATTGCCTCTAGTGTCTATCTTTTTTTAGGGCAAAGATAATTACCCTTTTATAACAATTATGCTGACGTTAAAAATATGTTGGGTAATGCGGATTTCCTCGAGGGTTTTTGTAAACTTTCACGTATGGAAATAGAATATATAACATACTCCTTTGCTATGCACTTTTTCTGCTTCTTTCGACCCCAATCCAGTTTTTAGTAATTTTTTGCTTCCTTTTCTTACCACAAATTTAAATTTATGCAAAATATCAAATCCAAGTATTATGAATCTTTGTTATCCTTAAAAGCATAAAAATACATCTTACAACATTAAGATATCACATGAAATATATGTAGAAATTTGGAGATATCAAGTGATTGACGAAGGGAATGGGAGGTGCAATTGGTCCACAAAGGTCACCATATATCAGCTCAAACATTGTTGTTAGTGTCTTGTGAAACAAGGCAAACTTTAAATAATTGAGTAGGTTGCTTGATCCTGAGTAAACCAAATACCAAAACTTTATCAACCATGCATTTTTGTGTTGAGAAGTTTTATATCCTAAAAAAGCATGCCACAACGAAGATAATTGTTCTGTGCTTCCCAACATGCATTATGATTCTGCTTTTTTTAAAATAGCTTTGTATATTCGATTTAGGGAGAGACCTATGTTTATTACTAGTCTTATTGTATATTCATGAACCCAAAGACATGAACCATGTATTAGCATCCTACCACCGCTTTATATAAGTTGGCCTAAACTTATAATTTTACTTCACAGGCTGGGTATGTAGTACGCCTTCTATAACATGCATTGTTCCTTGCTTTTATAGCTAACTTTATGTAC